TGAAAAAGTCTTAAAATTGAAGTTAAGTATGTTTTGAAAGTGAAAATACTAATTTATTTATAAAGATGGTATTTTGAAATTGTAAAGCAACAACTTCTTTTTGCTAATTTTAAGAGCTTTAGGACTCTTTTTTTTCTTGCTTTATTGGATCTTTAGGATATATTAAATGAAAGTGAAGATCTTCCAAATACACATGCCAACATGAGGGGAAAAAAGACTTCAAGATATTAAAAAAAAAAAATTGGCATGATTTCTATTAATTTAAATAAAGCCAATTTCATTTATATTATTTCTTATATAAGATAAGAAAAAGTATAAAAAAATTATTCCAACATATTTAAGAATAAAACATGTCCAATATCATCTTTATAAGGAAGGATTTCTTTACTTGCAAGATAAAAAAATATAAAGACGATTTGACTCATGTTAATAAGGCTCTTGTAAACAATCTTATAACAGGATATAGATAAGATATTTATATTATTGACACATAGAGATAGATAGTTAAAACCATGGAAGTTTCTAGAATTGGAGTTAGCCTTGTGGACCAAGTAGGATCTATCATGGAACATTCTAAAAAAAAATTAGGATGGTTATTTAGGTAGGGCCTTCATAAAACCTTCTAAATAAGGCTTAAGATGGTTATTTAGGTGGAATCCACCATGGAACCTTTTAAAAAGAAATTAAGGCAAATATCAAAGTAAGATCTATCACTTAAGTACATTCTAGAAAGTCTAAGGTGGTAGAAAAAAGTATAAATAGGACTAGCCAGGGCCTTTTAGGGCATTTGGTCAGGTATGGCTATGGATCCTTTCTCTCAATACATTTTGGATTTTATATCTTCATGTTTTGTTTTACTCTATTTCAATTTTTGTTGCTCAATTTTGTTCTCTGTGTTCCATTCTGTTTAATTTTATTCGGTTTTATTCTAGTTTAGTTTTTCCTATCTTATAATAAGATTTTATGTTATTGTGGATTAGAAGGGTTTTGGATACTTAAGATAGACCGGTTATATTTTATTGATATTAGAATGAATATTACACTATTTTCTTTTGGTAGTATATTGATAATCATCATTTAGTCCAAGATCACTTGTTGTGGTCACACTAAGTGTTGTATTGAGGCTACTACAAGCTACTCTTAAAAAGTCAATTGGGAGGTGATAAGGTATTATAATAGTGGAATCCAGTAGAAAAATTATAATATGGGAGAAATGGTAGAGCAATTCTAAATGGAGGCTCAAATACAACACCTCTTAGGCTAGATATCTACTTTGTAAGGGCAAATAGAATCGTTGAGGACAAGAGAGTTGATATCTATTAGGTTGAAATTGAATAAGTCTTGTACATACTCTTGGAGTTCAAGACAAGAAGATGTATATCAATAGGTCTTCAACATGCAACAATATCTCCAACTATTTGGGACAAAAATCATTGAAGGAATTATATATACAGCCACCTATTTGAGAGATGTGGCAGCCGTTTGGTGGCAACATCAAGTTCAAAGCTATGGAGCTCAAGGTGGATTTTGTGATTGGAAGGAGTTTCAGACTGAGTTTAGGAATCAATTTTGATCCATCAATGTAGAAAAGATAACATGCAATTAGTTAGTAAGTCTTACGCAATCTAAGTCAGTGTAAGATTATGTTTCTTCCTTCAAGTTTATATGTCTCTAAATTAAGAATGTTTTATAGGCAAAGATGATGGATTGATTCCTACGAGGTTTGAAATCTAGGATCCATAGATAAATAGAGCTAAAAGATTCATAAACATTCAAAGAGGTAATTCGGATTGTAGAGAAGGTTGATGCTATAGATTTTAAAAATTGTGGAGCACGACCTATAGCACAAAGTTCTATGCCGCTATCAAATACTATAGCACAACAACCAACGTTAATGGAAATTGATATCCTACAAGGATCATTGATACTACAAAGACAACAAATATTGATACAAAAGGAATTATGTTTCTATTATTAGGAGGCAGGCTATCAAATTGGAGGTTGTTCAAAACTTCAAAATTCAAGCACTAGCAAAATGAGATAGATTTACAATTTCAAAATTCACCAAGTTCATAATAAAATAAAGCAGAAAAATAAAACTCTTCAATAAAGGCATCGAAGGCCAGTACTCAAAATAGCTATTATCTCTTAGAGACAAATGGCATGGCCTTAGATAAGTATAAAAAGAGTTAACTGGTACATCTAATGGGACTACTAAAAAGAAAATCAAGTCAAGTACTTGTAGATTGTAGCTCTATAAAAAATTATATCTCAACTAAAATTACAAACCAACTTGGAATTAAAACTAAGGCAATCAAGGGAAGAAATATATATCTAATAGATGATTGAGAGAACGTATTGAGTGAGACATGTGAAAAAGAAACCTTGAGGTTGACTGGCACCTACGTCTCAAGAGAGATGTTCAAGGTGACAAAGCTAAGATATGATGTTATCCCTACTATGCCATAGCTAGAGAAAGAAAATAAGCAAGTTGATTATATAGCAAAGATAATCTCTATTAAAGATTGGCAACGCAAGGTGACTTTTTGCACCTCGGCATTAAGTGAAGATGAAAGACAATCTATAATAAAAGACCTATTTATAGGAACGACCTTTATAAAGAAACAAATGTAGCATAAGCAACCAATATATATATATATATATATATATATATATGGTGGTTTCAAATCTTGCATCAATGGTAAGAAAGACAATCAAAGGAATAAAATAGGCAAATCAACTCATATAGAAATATTAGAATGTCTAATCAACCTACCTAATGGTGTGTCTCCTAATGAAGGTGCCTCCTTTCAAATAGAACTATTACCTAGAGCCAAACCAACAAATTGATCAATTTATTGCCTAGCATCAAAAGAACTTGAAGAGCTATGGAAGATATTGGACAAACTTTTGGAGAAAGGCTTCATTCAAGAAAGTACATCACCATAGGGAGTACTTGTACTCTTTGTAGCTAAGAAGGATGGTGGACTTTGCCTTTGCATCGACTATCAAGGCCTCAATAAGCAGATTGTTAAAAATGCATATCCACTTTTATACATGGATGATCTTCTTGACCAACTTTGAGGTGTGACCATCTTTAATAAATTGGATCTTTAGAGCGGATATTGGAAAATACCTATTGCAAGAGAGGATGTAAAAAAGATAGCATTTGATACATGCTATGGATATTTCAAATGGTTGGTTTTACCTTTCAGCCTCAACAATGCTCCTACTTCTTTCATGGGTCACATAAATAGATTGTTTTAGGACCTTTTGGACAAGTATGTAATTGTCTTCATTGATGATATCCTTGTATATAGTAAAATCCTTAAAGAGCATGAACAACACCTACAAAAAGTGTTGCTCCAGCTAGAAGATAGTTGCTTTTATTGCAAGCAATCAAAATGTGAACTTTGGAAGTTGAAAGTCACTTTTTTGGGACATGTGGTGTCTTCCAAAGGCGTGCATATGGAGCAAGATTAGATAGAAGATTGGCCAACCTCCAAGGATGCTTGTAAAGTCTACTCATTTTTAAGCCTTGCTGGATATTATTGCCATTTTGTTTGGCAATGTGCTCACATTACTACATCATTGACAAACTTATCAAAGAAAGGTTCTCTATTTGAATAGAAATTGGAGCAACAAAGTACCTTTGATAGGTTGAAAGAGACACTCATTATTGCTCTTATATTGCAACCATATGATTCTAATCTTCTTTGTATACTTGACATTGATCCTTCCAACTTTGCTATTGGAGCGATCTTTTAACAAGAATTTGGTAGGAGCCTTCAGTTAGTGGCGTATGAATCATATAAGCTCAGAAGAACAAAGCGCAATTACTCTATACATCATTGAAAGCAATTAGCGATTGTACATTCCACAAAGGTGTGGCAACACTATTTCTTGGAGAAGCAAGTGGTTGTTTGGAATGACTATTGAACCTTGCTATACAATTTGCATCTATAAAATATGAAATTACGACATCATCAATGGAAAGAACAGTTGCAACTTTATGATATCTAGCTTGAGTACAAGCAAGGGCGACAATATACTATGTCAAACAACTTATTGAGGAGACTATACTTAAAGGATGAATTGAGAAATAAGGTAAAAGTAACAAGCTACCATTAATAGTATCATTTTAAATCTAACCAAAGAGACAAAATAGAAAGAAGCTACACATTAGAATGCTTATTTCAAGATGGTTAGTAATCTACTGAAGGTAGGCTTTATATAGTATTAAGATTATAGTCTTAATAATGGCTTGCTCTATTTCAAAAAGTAGATTTATGTATCTGATAATGTTATACTCTGGAAGCACATATTTCAAGAGAGACATGATATCTCAATATTTAGACATCTGAAAAGAGAGAACACTCTAGACCGGATCTCAAGGACATAGTTTTGGGTAAGTTTGAATCATGATGTTCGAGCCTTTATACGGTCTTGTGAGTCATGTCAATGTAATAAAGCATACAATGCAACGTCTCTTAGACTATTGCAGCTAATTTTGTTACATACGGCACGTTGGAAGCATGTGACTATGGATCTCATTATATGTTTATTGCAGATGCTTCATAATCATACAACGGTTGACATCTTTGTAGATCAACTTTCAAAGCAACTTCACTTGGCTACGGTGTGCTTGAATATTGATGCCTCAGTACTTGATGAGTCTTCTTTAATAATGTTTTTAAACACGATGGATTACTTTTTGTTATTTTTTCAGATCGAGATCCAGGCTTCATAAAAAGTTTTTAAGAAGTCTTATTCAAGCTACTAGGTACATGATTTGCCATGTCTACAACCTTTCGTGTCCAAATAGATAGGCAAACAAAGCATACAAATCAAACCTTGGAAGATATGCTAGGGATATTTGTCGTGGTTCATCATAATGTTTGGGATGAATAATTGACATTCTTAGAATTTACTTATAATAATAGTATTCAAGCAAATACCAATCATTTATCATTTTTCCTCCATACCAGTCACCATCCGATTTTTACGGAAGCATAATGGTTTCGTTGGTTGTCCTGGCTCGGATGGGGAAGCTTTCGGAGAAGGTGCTTTTGTACATGGGCGGTGTGTCTGCGTGGACGGCCACCCTCCTCTTCATGTGGGGGCCTATTGCACAAATGTGGACCAACTACGTGAACCCCGCCAACATCAAGGGGCTTTCGTCTCAGACCGTGTTGCTGGCCATGATCGGCAACGGGTTGTTACTGCCTCGGGCACTATTCGTTAGGGATTTCATGTGGTTCACGGGTTCGTCGTGGGGATGCTCGTTGGCCGGCGAGGGCATTCTAATCAGCATGTACATGTAAGTTCCTCATGTCCACTCATTGCATCTTGTGTTATTCTCTTAGTTGTAGTTGTGTGTTTCTTTTGGGTGTGTGGACATGGCAAGCCGAAAGCCTCGTTGCGCAGAGCATTCTGCGCGTCCATCTGGTCTATGGCCTAACGCAGTCGTTTGATTCCGATGTGCAGTAACGGCTGCGTGAGCAGTGCGCTATTTTGGGTCGTTTCAGCGGGTTACGTTTCCTGGATAGGTGAATGATCATTCCTTCCTGGAGCCCTTAAACGCCGCTAGCAATTGGTTTTGGTTTGGTTCAGTTTTGCTGGGGCATTTCGGTTAGTTGAAATGCTCAGTTGGAAAGACAGAAGTGTGATCGTGGTCCGGGGAGTACGATCTTTGATGCGATCGTAGGTATGACTTGAAGAATGTGTCGTCATATTCTACTGGAACGGGTGTGGTACGTTTGTGCTGATGTGGGTGCGTTCTTCATGTACAGGCGGTATGCTGCACAAGGATAAACGGGCGTACAAACTTCCCTCGATCTTCAGCCCGCTCCGTGAGCTTGTGTCCGGGTCAAGGCAATATCACGGCTGAAAGGCACCAATGTTTGAGAAAGTGTTAGAGTTTTCTTCTGCACCAGAGCATGGTCATCGAGATGTAGCTCCAGAGCCCAATGGACCCTGCAGTGGTCGTGCTCACTAAAACATCCGCGCAGTCGAAGCTTCTGTGTACCCCTGGAGACGTGCTTTCGAAGAACAGCATCACAATAAATGCCTGATTAGAAGGCCGAGGTCATTTGTGGGAATCCGATCACTGATCGCGAGCGGAAAGTAGAAAGCTTCCGAGTAGTGGTGGGCATACAAAAAGTTCCAGTGTGTGGTGCGAAGATGATCGCAAGTCCAGCTGGGACGTTAGACCTAAGTGTGTGAGTAGGCTAGATTACTTTAGAGTACGGCAGACACATTTTTGGTTTCGGTAAACGACAGCTCATTCGCACGAGCGGTCGGGTACATGTACACAACGTTGGTGAGAGGCGATAGTCCTGATACACAATACTGCCGACATATGGCATAAACATTGGGCGCTCGTAGCAGCCTGGAGGTGTTGTGGGTGAGTAAACAGAGGTTCGGGAACTGCGGCCGATCGGAGAGGATGGCGACAGAATATGTCGTGCTTGTAATTGGTCGCGCGGTGTGGGTGATGGTTCGGATGTGTAATATAAATGTGAAGAGTTGATCTTTAATTCCGCTGGTTCGTCTCGAATACTTTTTCTAATGCATGTCTTCAGTTCGATGGGTACGTCTAGTTCGTGGTGGCGAATCCCGTCCCTTGAGCATTTTGGTCCAATTCTGACAATTGACCACAGTCCGATCAAGAGTCTTTAGATCACAACCTGGAAAAGCAACAACGAAGTCACCCACCAGTTTCATGAGCATGTGAGCGATGGATGTGCCATGGGATTTTCTGCTCCAGGGACATTCAAAGAGCGCCTTGAGAGAAAGTGCATACCATTGCTTCGACGGCGAGGACCACGCAGACAACGCCGCTACAGAGTCTCGAGGTATGAATGCGGGGTTCCGTTACGATTATGAACGAGATCACTTCAGGAAGGGTTCCGTGGATGCATGGTAGGAAGGTGCGGCGAATTTGAGGAATAGGTGGGCGGGGATTGGTGTGGAGCGAGACGTGAGAGCACGTGAGAAAGTGGTGAAAGGGATGCGTGGCGTAAGTATGGTTGGGTGGTGAAAGGGATGCGTGGCGTAAGTATGGTTGGGTGGTGAAAGGGATGCGTGGCGTAAGTATGGTTGGGTGGTGAAAGGGATTGAAGCAGAAAGCAATGTTGGCAGCATGAAACAGATGAGGTTGTGAAGAGGAGCAGTGGAGTTGGGAGGCAACACACGCGGTAATGAGATCGTAATGAGATCGTAATGAGATCGTAATGAGCGATGGGGGTGATGAGCGAGATGGTAATGAGAGCGACAAGGGAACTGGGTGGGGCGGTGTAACAGATGGGGGTGGTTGTGGGTATGGTTGGAATGAGCCACGTGAGAGCAGGCATGAAGGCCCGAATCCGCGGCTCCATAGTCCAGTGGTTACGACTTTGGACTTTGAATCCAAAAACCCGAGTTCGAATCTCGGTGGGGCCTCCGGGGGTAGGGTGAGGAGGTTGCGTGGGGACACTCACGAAGATCTAGATTGAGGGGACGCAGTGGCTGTAGTTTAGTGGTGAGAATTCCACGTTGTGGCCGTGGAGACCTGGGCTCGAATCCCAGCAGCCACACTTAACACACTCCCCCACCTCCAACTTTTACTCTCTCCAAACCTCTTCTTTTCTCTGTTTCTATCTGATCCTCTCTCCACACTCCCGTTTGGACTCTCCTTTCGGTCATCAACCCGAAAGGTCTTGCACTTCGACACTCCCACCCCCCACATGGAGTCTCGAAGACTTTCACGCTTCTCCCACTTCCCCACACCCTCTTCCATCCACCCAATGCCCTATCCACCTTTCATTGTAATTTCAGTGACTCTATTACTCAGGAATGAGACATAATGTGATTCCCCATGCACCAAGTTTTTGGACAAACTGGATGATGGGCTCCACCATAAACCTTCCCTCCCAAGCCCTGCAAAGATATCAATTGTTCTCATACATTATTATTTTTATTATTATTATTATTATATCCAAATGCTATACACTGCTTCCTTTCCTTTCTTTAACAAGAAAGTTATTATATTTTTTACCAACAAATCCCAAGCCTATTCATTGTCTTCTGACTTTTACTGAACCAGATTTGGTACTTAGATTCTTTTCTTATTTTTATTTTATTTTATTTTTTAAATGGTAGTTGAACCCAATTTGAAAAATCAAAACAACTTAAAGTTCTCTACATGAATCAAAAACTTTATTCATGAAAAAAGTACCTTGATTACTCACTGAAAGGAAATTATATCCAAATTAAATATGTGCTTGTACAAGATGCAAGCAACAACTATTAATGTGTGTTGTTTTTATTGCATTTGTTTTTAACCTGTTCAATAGTATATTTTGTGGCTACCAATATATATATATATATATATATATACATATATATATATTAATTGTTTATACAACACATTTCTAATTTATTGAGTCTAATAAAGTCAATTACAAGTTTTATAAATAGTTTTGCATACCATATTGTCACAAGTGGTGTAAGGCTTATTTCAGCCATGTTCCATATTTTCTAGCAATGATCACATGCTCTATAGAATAAGTACATTGTCTTATGTAATTTAAGCCTAAAAGTTGTCCATATTACTAAAATATATAGAAGTACATATAAATCATGAATTAATGAAGAACAAATGGAAAGAGAGATCAAAGAGATTCTAACTAAGATAGAATACAAATGACTAAAAACAACCTCTAGACTCACTCCGAACAACTCAATGCCAATAACAAATTAATGAAGATAGACAAAGATGGTTTGATGCAGTGCCATATAGATCAGTCAATCTCATCTATCTAATATACTCAACTCAATGCAACTCTTGTTTGAAGGTAACATCATTGTCTTAGATATTTATACAAAAACAAGTCGACATTTACATGGCAATAGCTTTTTAAGATGAATAGTAGATAAACGTCAATATTTTAATCTAGGACCAAAATATCGAAGATGACAACATATACATATATAGTGTAAGGATAATAATAGAAAATAAGGTGAGTTTACATTCAATCATTATAAGTACATTGATAGTGACTAAAATTAATAAAGGCAAACATATAATGGATCTAAAAATCTAAGAATGGCACATATCTACAATAAACAATAGTTAAACTACAACTGCCAAGGCACTTTTGTAATATACTTTAGAGCTTGTTTTTAATCTCGACAGAGATTTTACAATTACAACTTTAGACTTTGAATCCAAAAATCTGAATTCAAATCTTGATGGAGCCTTTGAGAGTAGGTTGTGGAGGTTGGAGTATTCCTTAACAAAGAATAGAGTTGAGATTAGTGGCTATAGTTTAATAATGAAAATTCCACATTATGGCTATAATGACTTGGACTTAAATCATTGTAGAAAATTGTCAAATAAAAATTTGTATGATCATAAATCTAATTGTTTTCAATGTCCTCTATAAATTTGAGATAGTCAAATAAATCAAATGTTATTGAAATTCTTTTATAGTAAAGATCCAAAATAATAGATTATTAAGGATTAATAAGGATTTTAAATCTCAAACAACTTGCCAATTAAATTTGAATAAGTCATGACCGTCATTTGATATCAATGCATAATAACTAAGATAAACTTTGAGTCATATATATTATACAAGTGTGTATACAAATCTATAAAATTCACCTATATATCTAGCTTACATGTGTATGTCTTTGATATATCCCCTTTTCTAGATACGAGTTTCACAAAGAACGGTTATCATATGTTAAGAAAATCTATGATGTGACGAGTTGTATTTGCTATATACTCTGATCTTTGTTCTCTTTAAAGATGGTTGATAGGGCCTCTCAACCATCGATAGTGTTCTATACCATGGTAAGAAGACGATACTATTTTTTGATTGATGTTGAGGCCTTCATAACTTCTTTCAATTAAAATATTTGAAACATCATCAAGAGTTGTTATTACCTTTAATAAATATATCAAATATAAGGATTCTCTTCCAAGGTCGTTATACCAAATGCATTGTATCTCACCATCTATTGAAGGAAAAACATGCATATATGCATGTAAGCTAGTAATTACCTGTATAAATAGGTAGAAGTTAGTAGAAGTAGGTAAAAGTAAATTTATTTTATAATATCTTCTATGAAAGCTTCTTAGAACCTTTTTAGACGTTGCTTTGACTTTATAGGTGTTTTTAATTGACTTTTTAGATTTGAAACATGGTCAACAAGTTGGCCATGTGCCATACATGTTATTTGTTGGAAGACCAAGCTAAATGTATGGCCCACACATAGAAAAACTTACCTTGTAAGTCAAGGCATGTATCCTAAAAAATCAATACATATTAGAGGTCCTATAGAATATTACCACGTAGCCCCTAATTAGATAGTATTATAGAGAGAAGAGTAAAACCTTCTTCACTCTTATCAACTGCTGTCTTGCTTTTAGTCTACTTTCAAGAGTCTCCAATTTTCTTGTCTTTTGATAATAAGTCTTTCTAGTTTCTTTAAATATATGTACTTCCTTATTTCAATTTTTTCACTCTTTTTTTAACACGGATTTCATTGAATTTTGCATCTGCTTTTAATTCATATCTTAAATAAATTGATAAGAGTATAATTATAGTATCATAAATTTTTCTTATCTTAATTAAGAGTAGATTACCCCTTTCTCATGATAAGACATAAGCATATTAGAAGTTGTGGATTACTCTCTTCTAAACTGATATTGTTTATTAATATTTTCTTTGTCTTCAAGTCATTTCTTCTACTTGTCTTGAGTGGTATTAGATTTTTTTTTTTTAGTATTATTATGGCATAGCTTGTTGAAATGAAGAGTATAATAGTACAAATATAAGAGCAATTGAAAGAGTTGATGCTTGCGATGCATCAACTTAGCTTACCACTATAAGAATCAACAAAAATAGTATGAAGTGAGGATATAGAGATGATTACAATTGCTTCAATATCTACACCAAATCATGTTCTTTTACCCATGGTAGAATATCCTTCAAGTATTAGAGAACCAAGAGTTAGCCTGCCCGAAAAGTTTGATGGTACAAGTTTAAAATTTTGAAGATTTATCAATCAAGTATAACTTGTGATTGAACTTCAACCTCAAAGCTATCCAACTCTAGGATCACAAGTTAGATTCATTGGTACACTTCTTTTAGGTTCAGCACTATTATGATTTTTATCTTTTTTTTAACAATAAGATCCAATATTGGATAATCTGGAAGTATTTTTGATAAAATTCCGGTCTATGTATGGAGAACATGATGTAATTTGTATTGTAATCAACAAAATCCGTATTTTGCTACAAAAAAATCGATTTGTAATATTATATGCTTTACAATTTTGACAACTTGTAACTCATATCAAGTGGAATGATATTGCATTTATTAGCCAATTTCTCTATGGATTAGAATATGAAGTAAAGAAATTGATGCTCAACTTATCTAATCCTCAAACATTGAGTCAAGCAATTGCCTTTGTTGTAAAATATGACAATTGACTTTTTGAATTTTGATTTGAGAGTCGTACAAATAGGCCTCAACATTACTACAATTTG